GGAATAAAGAAGGGAAAAAAAGCTGTGCATCTTGCATTGGAATAAAATAATTCTTATAAAAAAAGAGATAAAATGAAGGAGGAAAGAAAGTCGTAAAAAGGGAAAGTAAAATTCACTTCACATAATCACAACTCAATATTTTTGTAGAGCAATTGATGTGCGTAGAAAAAAAAACACACCGTCCACCCTGTGTTCACATCTGGCCAAAACGCTGAAACAAATGCCACTTATTTAGTCCAGCTAGGAGTGCTTGGACGTCTTCTCCTTTTTTAGATCACATCACACTTGAAGCTCGGCTTCTATCATATTCTTAAAAGTCCAACATATTAGTGTTCAGGACATTTAAAGACATTTCGTTGTTGTTGTTTTTTTAAAAACGTAATCAATTCAGAAACGTCTTGAGAACAACCACAAAAATCATTATCTCTTTCTCTTTTTTTTCTGTTTTAATGTCAGCAGAAGTTTCTGTGCACACTGCATAGCTGTTCCGAGCACTGTCAAAATACAGCATGTAAAAAAAATCTTGCTGAAAATTCTCCCAATATCCCTAGCTGCGACTTTGTAGGAGGATAGCAGTGGAACCAAGTCTAGACAACTCAAGAGAAAGCATACCCACTGGCGTCAAAGAAATCTTCAAATAACGACCATCACCGAAAAGGTGTTTTTTTTTCCAACACTTCTTCTCAGAAAAATTATTACAACACTGCTGTTGCTGAATTGTTATCAGGGCAGCCCCACCAAAAAAATTAATTTTTAAAAAACAAACCTGGAGCGTAATTAATGTAATGACGCGACACAAATGTTCCGAGTCCACTGGCACAGTTGGGGAAGGGTGGAAACATACATATATAAAACTATATGCATATATACTTCTACGATTAGCTGAAAACTGCAAGGGTAAATGTGCGGGTATCAAGATCACAAGAGTATACTGAGAATAATTCACCATGGTGATCCAAATTTTTATCGTAGTTACAAATATAGAGTACAAGTATGCATCTTTACAGGAAAAATAAAATAATAACCAAAAGTATATGCCGAGGAAAAGGGGAGAGAGAGAGAGAGAGAGAGAGAGAGAGAGAGAGAGAGAGAGAG